CCTCCACCTCTGGCCCATAAATGCCATTAGCCAAATCTTTCCTCTACTGCCACTGAATCATAAGAACAAGGAAATAACTTGGTGTCTTTTTTTAGTGCAGGCTTTTAATACTGAATAGTGATGTTTGTTTTGGGGAATTGGTGACTTCTTGAGCCATCATGCCATGTTCTCCCCATCTCATCCCAAAGAGAGTCCCCAGAATTTAATGAGGCTTTAAGTCTTCCAAGCCATCAAAATTAGAGCCTGTAGGGCGGGAAAGCAAATCCAAATTCCTCAAAGCTGCCCCCAAAGGGCTCCCAGTTAGGGAGCTGGTAGTCAGATGACTTTGAAAAAACATTTTTTTTGTATCAGGATCGAACTCAGGACTTTGTGTTTATAAGGCAGTCGGTGGAACAACTGAGCTAAATCCTTGGCCCCAGATGGCTTTGAAATGTAAAGACAGCCTGTCCTGTTAGCCTAAACCTGTAATTCCAGCATTGTGAGAGGCGCAGGCAGGAGGATTGCAATTTTAAGCCCAGACTGGGCACTTTAGCTACTTAGCAGAACCCTGTCTCTAAATAAAAAATAAAGTAAAATGTCTTGGGGTATAGCTCAGTGGGAAGACCTGGGTTCCATCCCCGGTAGTGCAAATAAATAAATGAAAAACAAAAACAAAAAAGGGCTGGTGATGCAGCTCAGGGTGAAGAACCTGAGTTCAATTCCCAGTACTGCAAAAAAAAAAAAAAAAAAAAAAAAAAAGAAAGGAAGGGGAGGGAAGGGAAAGGGAAATGGAAGGGAAGGGGAAGGGGAAGGGAAAAATTCAAGAATATCACCTCAGCTAAGTCTGGAGGGAAAAAGAGAATAAACTACTACCTTCAAACCTCTCTGTGTAGAGTAAAATGGCTTGCATTTCTCTCCCAGCATGTTCTTGGCTTTCTTAGTATCTCTGCAAGCAGAGGCCTCATCCCATCCGGGCTCTCCCACACCCCCTCAGCCCCCTTAGTACCCACCCACTGGGCACTGAGGCTGCAGATTCCATGAGGCCCTCCTTTTGAGGCACCCACCTTTGACAAGTATCTAAAAGTTTTCTCCCAATCCCCTGTTAGGTCCCAGCAGTCAGCAGTCGGGGGCACTCAGAACCATGAAGAAAAGAGGAAAGGTCAGGAAAGTCTGGACTTTGTCTCCTGCTGCTCCTAGCGGCCCAGCTACCTCCCAAGTGACTAAACAAATGGAGTCTGAAGCAACTGCTGCTTGACAGTGCATGGCATCCAGGATTCTGCACCAGGACCAGCATGAGGCTGAGAATTAATAACTGTGAGTGATTATCATGGAAACTGTCTCCAGGAAAAACGACCAGGTTTTTACCATTCAACCTTGGGAAGATAAAATCAGGTCTAGTAGAGAAGGAAAAAAAAAGACAAATGATCTAAAGAGTAAATGCAGGATTGGAAATCAAAGAACATCTTGGGGCCTGAAGATACACCTGCCTCATCTCCCTGTCCCGGAGAGGAGATGGAAAAGGGGAGGAGATCTCCATCCACTCAGATCCTGTGCTCATCCTATACTTTCCTCAACCTCCAGGAAGCCCAAATCCCTGTCCTCCACCGATTTTATCTCTCTTTAGGTCTCTCCTGGGCCCTCTCTGAGTAGCCTGTTGAGACCCTCCTTGTGTGTCTGACTACAACCTCCTTTAGGCTTTCCCCATCCAACGCCCCACTGGCCCCCACCCTAGCCCTGCTGGGGAAACCCCAGAAAAACAGGAACCTCCTCACATTGCCCTAGTAAAATCATCAATGAATTAGAATGGCAAAATAGATGTCACTGTTCAGGTTAGTGGTGGGAACAAGGATGGGGGTTTATTTAATTGATGTCCTTATATTTGGGTGTGTTTGAAGTTGTTCCTAACAAAACAGACCTTCTCCAGGGATCTCAGCATGAAGCCTAAAATCCCAGGATTGGCATTCTAGACCCTTCAGCATCTGCCCCTGGCACAGCAGACTGCAGTCTCTCTGTCTTCCCAGCCTTGGCCTGCAGCTCACTTCTGCAGCCCTACTCTGTACACACACCTCCTTCTCCCAGAACACCCTTCTTCTACTCTCCTGCCTAGAAGACGCTTCCTCATCCCTTGGAAACCCGGTATAAAAGACCTCTCCCTGATCTGGCACAACTGCCCAGACCCTTTTCTGTCCTGGGGTCCAGGGTAGGGCTTGTAGACGGTGCCTTCCCTGGCTTGATCTAGTCCATATTTGAGGAAGACCAGAATGTCTTAGTACAATATTTATTTGAACTTGGTCACCAAGTAGGGTAATTTCTTTTGGCTTCTGCTTCTGTCTCCATACAATGAGGATACTAGCGCCACTTGTAAATCTGGGGAAGCAGTAATGATTCCGTTGTGGTATTCACTATGTAAACAGCTTAAGGAGGGAGAGCGAGGCTGATTTAAAGACAGGCGCACTTCAATCAAATCATACAATGGAGAATAACGCAGCTTGTCATGATGAAATACTCCCCAAACCTACAGGAAAGACATTGCCATTTACCTCTTCCTGGGAGCTGGGGAAATACAATGGAAATCGTTAACGCTAAAGTCACAATTCTTATGCGCTCAGGGACAGTTGGTACTTCCGGGGGTCTTCAGAAGTCAAGACCAGAGTCCAGACCCTGTCCTTGAAAGGGCTGTGGAGCTCCGTGGCCGCAACCTGGCCCCCAATCCCCGGGACTAGCAGTGCACGGGATTTTTGCAAAAATCAGCCCGGATGACAATTCCCCCAACCCTGTGAGGTCTTGGTGAGTT